CTTCTTTATCCATTCATCTGTCGATGGACATCTTGGCTCTTTCCACGGTTTGGCTATTGTGGACATTGCTGCTATAAACATCGGGGTGCACGTATCCCTTTGGATCCCTACATTTGTATCTTTGGGGTAAATACCCAGTAGTGCAATTAGCATAATACTTTTAAGGTTCATCCCATGTTGTAGCATGTATCAGTACTTCATTCCTTTTCATGGCTGAACAGTATTTCCTTGTGTGGATGATACCACATTTTGTCCATCAGTTGTTTCCATTCTTTGGCTGTTATAAATAAACTGCTATGAACATTTGTGTACCAGTTTTTGTGTGAACATGTCTTCAGTTCTACCAGTTATTTCTTTAAGCCGCTCATAACCTCGTTTTATATGTTAAATCTATAATTCTAATTTGAAGTCCTTGGGTATTGGAATCTGTTGTTTCTACTAAATCTCACTTTGGGTAGTTTATTTCCTTCTAGGTTGTGAGCTTGCTGTTTTATATTTGTAAAACGTTTTTATTTTTTTTAAGACTTTATTATTCTTTTAGTTTTTATGTAAATTCAAGTTAGTTAACATATAGTGTAGTATTAGTTTCAGGGGAAAGATTTTATTTGTATTTATTTTAGAGAGAGAATGTGAGCAGGGTGGAGGGGCAGAGGGAGAGGAGAGAGAATCTCAAGCAGACTCTCTGCTGAGCATGGAGCCTGACATGGGGCTGGATCCCAGAATCCTGAGATCATGACCTGAGCCAAAACCAAGAGCCAGACTCTTAACCAGCTGAGCCACCCAGGTGCCCTGGAAAGATTTTATTTTTAAGTAATCTCCACATCCAACATGGGGCTTGAACTCACAACCCCAAGATCAAGAGTCACATGCTCTACCAACTGAGCCAGCCAGGTCCCCCAACATTTTTGTTTTTGTACCATGTTACCTGTAATGTTTATCTGAGAAGTCAAAGTAGTAGAATCAAGTAATAAAAATTGGCAGACTGGGTTAATACTGTTTTCTGAGGGGAAGAAAACAGTAAGGTGTAATAGAGGCAGCAGAAGCGTGGAGTTCATAGGTCTTTCTTTCTCCTACAGCATTTAAAGTGTTTCTGGGAGCTAAAGGCAAAGATACTACTGTTAGGGCCTCTGTCTGCCAGAGTGTTGTTTCTGTGTGTGGATTCCCTGTGGGCCATGGGTCTCTGGGGATGTTGAGGCTCCTTAGAAGACAAGGGTCTTTATGGCACTGAGCCAAAGGAATTTTTATAAACCTGGTATTGGAGTGGGTGAAACATTAAAATAATCTGTTTTTCCTTAATGACCACAAAACATGAAAATCTTACTCATGCTTCCCAGCTTCGTGTTCTCACAAACCAAGAGTTGGGTAAAATGTTAAAAGGGATATGATATGTAAAATGTTTTGGGGGTATGCAGGTGGCTCAGCAGGTTAAGCGTCTGACTCTTGATCAGGTCATGATCCCAGGGTTGTGAAATTGAGCCCCGTGTCAGGCTGTGTGCTCAACAGGGAGTCTGCTTGAGATTCTTTCTCTCCTCTGCCCCCACTCCCCCCGCCCCCCTGTGCATGCTCTCTCTCAAAATAAATAAAATAAATTTAAGTTTGAAACAAGAATTTTGCATGTACATTGTCCATCTTCTGGCTGTTCAGTGTTTTTATTAAATGTAAGTTGATAGCAGTCACTTTTTGTCCATTAAAGTACGGGTTCTTACACAGACTTTGTTTACTGGAATTGTTTAATAGGAATTTAGGTAGCACATATTTCCTTGCAGAGCCCAGATAACCTTTTGTGTTCAACTGTCATCCTTAGATCTTCCTTTACTTCCCCTTTCTTTAATCTAAAACATACTGCGAACGATTGCAGTAGCTCATGAACTTTCTTTGCATTACATTGTTTTCTTTCCCTCTCCTGCACAGTGCTGTTGAGGTTTCCTTTGTTGTTTTTTGAACTCCAGTTCAAAAGGGCATATACTTTTTTTTTTTTTTAATTTTTTAAATTAACATATAATGTACTATTTGTTTCAGGTCTGTGATTCATCAGTCTTACACAATTCACAGCGCTCACCATAGTACCTACCCTCCCTGGTGTCCATCTCCCAGCTACCCCATCCCTCCCACCCCCCTCCACTCCGCAACCCTCAGTTTGTTTCCTGAGATTAGGAGTCTCTTATGGTTTGTCTCCTTCTCTGGTTTCATCTTGTTTCATTTTTCCCTCCCTTCCCCTATGATTCTCTGTCTTGTTTCTCAAATTCCTCATATCAGTGAGATCATATGATACTTACCTTTCTCTGATTGACTTATTTTGCTTAGCATAATACCCTCTAGTTCCATCCACGTTGTTGCAAATGGCAAGATTTCTTTTCTTTTTTTTTTTTGATGGATGCATAATATTCCATTGTATATATGTATACCACATCTTCTTTATCCATTCATCTGTTGATGGACATCTAGCCACTTTCCATAGTTCGGCTATTGTGGACATTGCTACTATGAACACTGGAGTGCACCTGCCCCTTCGGATCACTACATTTGTATCTTTGGGGTAAATACCCAGTAGTGCAATTGCTGAGTCATAGGGTAGCTGTATTTTCAACTTTTTGAGGAACCTCCATACTGTTTTTCCAGAGTGGCTACACCAGCTTGCATTCCCACCAACAGTGTAGGAGGGTTCCGCTTTCTCCGCATCCTCGCCAACGTCTGTCGCTTCCCGACTTGTTAATTTTAGCCATTCTGACTGGTGTGGGGTGGTGTATCTCATTGAGGTTTTGATTTGGATTTCCCTGATGCTGAGTGATGTTGAGCACTTTTTCAGTGTCTGTTGGCCATTTGGATGTCTTGTTTGCAGAAATGTCTGTTCATGTCTTCTGCCCATTGCTTGATTGGATTCTTTGTTCTTTGGGTGTTGAGTTTGATAAGTTCTTTATAGATTTTGGATACTAGCCCTTTATCTGATATGTCATTTGCAAAAATCTTCTCCCATTATGTCTGTTGTCTTCTGGTTTTGTTGACTGTTTCCTTTGCTGTGCAAAAGCTTTTTATCTTGATGAAGTCCCAATAGTTCATTTTTGCCCTTGCTTCCCTTTGCCTTTGGCGATGTTTCTAGGAAGAAGTTGCTGCGGCTGAGGTAAAGAGGTTGCTGCCTGTGTTCTCAAGGATTTTGATGGATTTCTGTCTCATATTTAGGTCTTTCATCCATTTTGAGTCTCTTTTTTTGTGTGGTGTAAGGAAATGATCCAGTTTCATTCTTCTGCATGTAGCTGTCCAATTTTCCCAACACCATTTGTTGAAGAGACTTTCTTTTTTCCATTGGACATTCTTTCCTGCTTTGTCGAAGATTAGTTGACCATAGAGTTGAGGGTCCATTTCTGGGCTCTCTATTCTGTTCCATTGATCTGTGTGTCTGTTTTTGTCAAGGGCATGTACCCTTAAGGGCATTCCTGGCTAACCTGGCATTCTTGTCTTTTTACAATCGAGCCCGCAATCTTTCCTTCTAGACTTGTATGTTTGTCCTAGTCTGTCATCACCCTTTTGCTAGTCATAAATACTCTAATGCCTGCAAACCATTCATCAGTTACAATTCTGCCTTTGCTCATGATGTTGACTCTATTGAAATGTCCTTCCCATAATCTTAGGCTCTTGGCAGTGTTCCCATCCTTCAAAATCCACCTGTTGGCAGTGTTTCCATCCTTCAAAATCCACCTGAAGTACACTCTCAGTATCTTTTCCAACTATAAACTATATTTTTTCTCTTCCTGTTGTTTTGTGTATCTTTTTGAGAACTTTTCTGTCTTGAATAATTATTGATATTTCTTGTGTTACTCTCCACCCAGTTATAAATTTCTCATGATCAAGGCTCTTGTGTTGCTTGTCTTTGAAGTTATTTCTGGCAAGGCAAATTGCCTTATGTTGAAAGGTGTTCATTAACTATGTGAAGAACTAGATTATAGCAACACATTTCATTTGAGATTAGCTTGAACTCATGAAAGGTAATGTTTGTGCTATACTTGTTTTATACCCCCAACATCTAGCACACTGCCTTGGCAATTAATAACATGTCTTTTGTATTGTTGAGGAAGATATTTGAAGTCTTTAATGTGGTCCTTGTATTTTAGTGTCAAGGAAAAATCAAGTTGGTTTCACAGTTAATTAGGGAAATTTATTCAGTAATATTTTCTTGTTTTTACTTGTATGAAAACTAGGGAATTTTTGTTTGATTGGAATTCTGTTAATCAGAATTGGTAGAGTTTTTAATTTGGTTAACTATTTTTCCTAAAGAAAGACTATCAATAACTTGTTTTCTTTACAGTTATTAGAAACTGCTATGTGCCTGCCTTATGATGAGTAATAATGAAGCAGATTCAAATTCTTCCCTCTTCCAAAAATGCAGGTTCTTGTTAAACCTTTGGGAGACCGTGGATACCTTTTTCTTCTCTCTCCTTGTCAAATGGTTTCTCCATATGGTAGGTGATCTCTTTAATTTTTACAATTCTTTTTAATTTTTTTGTTAGAACATATTGCTAATCAGTTTGGCTTCTGTTTTTTTAGAACATCAGACTGCCAAGTCTCGAGTGCTACATGCTTTATTTCTATTTCAAGAACCTAGAGGCATAGTTACTTGTAAGTTCTTTGAATATCTAAATCAAGTCACTGATACTTACATTTCATTGAAATTTTTCAGATAACTCAGTAAACATTTTGTTTCTTATATTTTGGGAAATACTGGGGGTATTAAGAGGTATTAGCAAATAAAACAAATTATATATGACCTGATTATTTTTTAGTGGAAAATTTTTGGGTGTTACCATTGTTTTCACTAAATAAACATTGATTGTAATTATTAAAATACCGTAGTGGCTTCGTTTTCTAGGGTTTTATATTATTAGAATTTTTTAGCTGAGTTCATTTTTGCATTCAAATTTTAGCAACAATAAAAGGATCATGTGCTAGGTTAAATTTAGGCCATTTAAAATTAATAAAAAATTTTTCACACTGGTGTTAGAGAAAATTTGCTGTTCACTGTTCCTAAGAACATACTTCAATGCTATATTAAGGTAAAATTCACACTGATGGGTTTCATTGTTAGATTAAGAATGACATTTTCAATTGTAGCCACTTGGTGTTTAGATATCTGCTGTGGGGATAGAACATTAATGTAAAGTTAAACTTATTACAGTATAGCAGGAAGGAGTGACATTGCTATCAGTTGCAGGATTCTCTTGCTAGGAGTCTCAGATCTTGCCTTGCTTCTTTATTTCTCCTTACATTTTGCTTGCCACCAGTTCAGTCCCTAGGGACAGTAAGAAATGAAGATCTTCAATGAGTGGGTGTTTTACCCTTTAAAAATATCTCCTACAATTTTGTTTTAGTTTCTTATTGGCCTGTTTTTAGAAGCAGTATTCTTCATTTATTTCTATATTGCATATATGTATTAGGGTACATACTCTTGGTTTGGTTTACCATTAATGTATGAATGTTGTTGCATTTCTTTGACAAAATGTAGATCTGTGTTTGATTCTTGATTGCTAACATGGTTTGCTTTTTTGTTTGTTTACAGCACAAAAAGGTTCAACTAATGCAACACCACAGAAGAGACATGAGAGCATGACAGATGTATTAAAAATAACTCAGTTTTTACAGTTTGCTTTGATTCAGTGTCGAAAGGAATTCAAAAATATAAATACTATAAATTTTCATTCTGTTGTTGAAAAGTATGTAAATGAATTTTTTAAGCGAGGTTTTGGTTCAGGTAAACGAGAGTTTATCATGTTTCCATACGATTCACGATTAGATGATAAAAAATTCTTATACTCAGCTCCAAAAAATAAATCCCATATTGATAATTGTTTGCATGCCTATATTTTTCGGCCTGAAATGTATCAGTTACCAATTTGTAAATTAAAAGAGCTTTTTGAAGAAAATAGGAAACTTCAACAGTTCAGTCCACTCTCAGATTATGAAGGCCAAGAAGAAGAAATGAATGGTACAAAAATGAAATTTGGAAAACGAAATAACTCAAGGGGTGAAACTATTATACCTAGAAAGCAGAAGTCCTCTCACTCTTTGGATTATGATAAGGATAGAGTCAAAGAATTGATTAATTTAATTCAGTGTAGGAAAAAAAATGTGGGTGGGGACTCAGACACGGAAGATATGAGAAGCAAAACTGTCTTGAAGAGGAAGCTTGAGGATCTACCTGAAAATATGAGAAAGCTCGCCAAAACCAGTAATTTATCTGAAAATTGCCATCTGTATGAAGGTAAAAATATCAGGTTGCTTTTACACAGTATAAAAATAACAACCAGAAATATAGTAAAGTAGTTCTGTCCTTTCCCCTAGTACAGGGGTCTGCAAGTTACAGCCTCAGAACCAATCCAGCCTGTCCCCTGTTTTTGTAAAGAAAGTACATCAGATTTCTGAATTGTGTAGCTTAGGCAAATATGAGGAAAATAAAGTATGCTTGGCTGTTATCCTATTAATTGGAGTTCTTGTCCTTTTAGTACAAGTACATTGAATATTGGGTTCTTTTAGCATATTGCTTAGTGTAAGGAACCTTCTGAGCTTTAAAATTCGATTTCTTAGATGCATACACATTTTTTTCTACCCCAGGAGTCAGTCCAGTAATATGTTTGGCTTTTTCTTTTTTCTATTTTTCTTTGTTTTAGTTGACAGTTAAAGACAGAAATGGGAGACCCTTCTTTTAAGTGTGTGTTTCAATATTGCAAGTATTCTAAACATTTTTTCATCTAGATTTTTAATATCTTCCCACTGCTAAAATAAGCATGAAATGTCTTCTTTGAGTTCATGGACCTTTGAATTTTGTGCTGCTGCTGTTCTTGTTTATGGCAGATATCAGTATGCCATTCCTGTTTCTTACTAAGCTGTTTTACTTGTATATGTTCAAATTCAGTGTGTCTCAGAACTGACTAGGTTAAATCAGTGTTTTTTTACTGTTCTCTTAGCAATCAGTGCTCGTATCCTCAGTTACTTTTCACTTAATCTGCTCTCCTTTACTTCTTCTCTTTCTGCACATATGGCAGCCACTGGCCACGTGTTGTTATTTAAGTTTAAATTAAAATGAAATAATTCATTTCATGTATTATACTTGGAACACTTCATAAGCCATATCACTGTATTGAAATAGCGCAGATAGAGAACATTTCCATCATTGCAGAAAGTTCTGTTTGACAAGGCTGTTGTCTTCAGTAACTTTCAAGTGTTTTTTCTTTACTTGACCTGTGTTCTCTTTTTCTTTCCAACATTTTCATCTTGTTCTTAACCTCTTGGGTGGCTTTCCTGGCATCCGTCAACCATTTCAGTCTCATATTCTTCCAGTCTCAGCTTTGTATTCGTCTTTTCAAAAGTTTTTTATAGGCTGGCCATGTCCCACCTGGGTAACCATGTTTCCCATTCTTTTTTCACATATTCCTTGATTAGGGTTCATCTCTCCTCAGAATATGTCATAGTCAGCCCTTCACACTCCTCTTTCTTCCTGAAGCATCTTTCATTTCTCTCAAGCTGCATATCTTTGCAGTTCATATCCCTCCCTAGATTTATGGCTATTCCACTTCTTGATGGTTTCTATTTCCTTTAGCTTACGCCATGCTGAACCTATTGACATTTACTGATCTGCACTGTCTTACACTGTTGACCTGGTATCTTGAGAATTAAGTGCTTACCATGTGCCAGGTACTTTACATATATGGACTCATTTAGTTCTTGAGTAGTAGACATGATTATCCTTAATTTACAGATGAGAAAATCTCTAGAAGCTAAAGTTATGTAGTTCATTAATCCATAACTTAGTTGTGACTGACAAAAAATTTTTCCTAAACTTGGCTGTATTTACTAGCACTGGCACATAATGGTTAAGATATTTAAATTTCAGTACTGTTTTAGCTGATAATTGACTAATTTTGTATATGTGAAAAAATAGTTGTGGGTGACAGTCAGGCTTTATCAATAATTAAAATGGAGGGAAAGCCATGCCAATAGACCAAAGTAGAAGTAGGGCAGGGGAGAAGGGGGAGATAGGTTAAACTAGAACTAGTGACAGTCAGATTTGCATTTCTAGGTGTTCCTCATTTGTGTTTCTTTTTAGTTATTTTGTACACTTTATTTTTGATTTCTGAAAATAGAGATTTAAAGGTTGGATTCTAACTTTTAGAATACCCTCATCTTGGGCGCCTGGGTGGCTCAGTTGGTTAAGCGACTGCCTTTGGCTCAGGTCATGATCCTGGAGTCCCGGGATCGAGTCCCACATCAGGCTCCCTGCTCAGCAGAGAGTCTGCTTCTCCCTCTGACCCTCCCCCCTCTCATGTGCTTTCTCTCATTCTCTCTCTCTCAAATAAATAAATAAAATTTAAAAAAAAAAAAAATACCCTCATCTTGATTTGGTGGTGAACCCACTCATTTTATAAGTGGTAACCTCCTATCTTCCCTACCCCATTTTACATTAACCTTTTTGAGGTATGATTTACATAAAATATGCCCATTTTGAGGGTACAGCTTAAAGATGAATTTTGATAGTTATGTTACCACCACTCCAATTTATAGAACATTTTCATTACCCCCAGATGTTACCTTACACTCCTTTGTAATCTCACCCCACCCCACCACTAATGTGCTTTCTGTCTTTATGTATTAGTTTTTCCACTTCTATGATTTTATAATTCATATAGGTAGAATCATACAGGATGTACTTTGTTGTTTCTAAATTTTTTTTTCCCCCCGGTGGTACATTATACCCTGCTTAAATTGGAAATCCTGGCATCTATCCAGGCTTTATCCTCCTTCAGCATTAAAAAGCACATGACTTTCTGAATGTCTGTTCCCTTTGCAGGTTTTTAATAATGGTATAATGCATATTACCCAGATTTATACCTGCTTGTAACCATGTCTTAACATGTTTTCTTTCATAGTACTTTTTGGTCTTAGTGCAAGTTTGGTATGGCTTGCTTCAGGATGATTTTGTATCTCTAGTATCTTAGTTTTGTTATGAAATTAGTCATTCAAGATAAGGTTTTAGATTATAAGAATGTCGATATCTTTTTTTTTTTAAAGATTTTATTTATTTATTTGAGAGAGAGAGAGAATGAGAGGCAGAGAGCATGAGAGGGAGGAGGGTCAGAGGGAGAAGCAGACTCCCCGCTGAGCAGGGAGCCTGATGCGGGACTCGATCCCGGGACTCCAGGATC